GTGTGTGTGTGTGTGTGTGTGTGTGTGTGTGTGTGTGTGTGTGTGTGTTTTTCCACATCCATTAATAGAATGGCATTATTTTGTTTTAAATTGTATATATTTGTTAGCTTCCTATGAAGTTGAAAGTTTCTTGAGGTCAGGGTCTTCCTATTCACCTTGGTGTTCTCTACAACGTTTAACATAATACCTTAAACATAGTAGGCTCTAAGCATATATGTTTTTAAGTTGGCACTTGAGCAAGTTAACACTATTGTTCAGCCCTAGGTGTTTTATTTAAAAATAAAGCTAAAATTCTGGCTTAATCAGAAGTGGTAACATTATTCCCATTTATCTGAGAAGGTGGTTGAACACACTTAGAAAAAGTATCCTATGTTAATAAAATGTGAAGTTGCTGTGAATACTGAACTATCACATAGGAGAAGGATTAATTGAATTAGTACTATTTAGCCTGCTTTTGTTAACATGTTCATCCTACTCAAATTTAATTGGTAGTATAGAAAATGTTTAGGCATTTTTATATAGCATTTATCAAGGAAAGATTTTTGTTTTTGAATTTGACAGTAAAATTATATCATGATAGTTGGATGTTGTTTGTATAACGAACTTAACAGTGATGAAGAAAAAAAGCAGATAAGTTTTCCGAAATGAGATTATTAGGTGTTCTTTCTCTAAATCAAAACAGAATGTAGTTATTAGGTTCTTAACAATTATACCAGAGTCTCTCCTTTGGAAATATCAAGCTTTGAGAGAATTTAATGCTATCCAAGAGCAAAAAACATTGAGAGTAGTGGGTAACTGAGATGCTTTAATGAATCCAACAAAATAGTGACTAAGTGAGTTCTGTCGACATACCTGTCTTTAAAGTGAGCCAAGTTGTAATCAAAGTTCCAAGTTCCATGATATAGAGGGAGAAGTAGGCATATGACCATACACCTTGGTTGGCTTTCCCCTTGTAAAAAATACTTGAAATCTTGTGGATGAGTGAAGACTAGGTACTGTTTGTTCACACATAGATAATGGCTGCCCCGATCCTTTCTGTAATGATCCAGTTTACAGGTACAGTACCCTAAATACCTGCTCACTGTTGTATTCTGTGTGTTTGATTGTGGAGGGAAGAAGATAGTACCTATTGAAAGGGAGGGGACAGTATGTTATTTCATAGGAAAAAATGCCATGTCTTAGTAGTTGAGTGGCCATACAAAATGAAGGAGGTATACATTTGGGAGTCATCTTCATAGGGAATGACAATGAATTGGCTTTCAGAATTAGAAATGGTAAAGAGAACAAGGAGCTGCGGAATGAGTCTTGGGGGGCTCTAACTAGAGGACAGGAAGAGGAAGCCAGATCAGAATTAGAAATGGTAAAGAGAACAAGGAGCTGCGGAATGAGTCTTGGGGGGCTCTAACTAGAGGACAGGAAGAGGAAGCCAAGTCAGAATGTGATGTCACAGAAACTATGGTAGATGAGAACTTCAGGGAGGAGTTGATCAGTACTGTCAGATATTGAAAAGTTGGAGAAATTACAAGCCGTTTGCTTTATCAAGAAGGAGGTAACTTAAAAAAAAAAGGAGGTAATTGCTGACTTCTGAGAGTGTACTACCACAGATGAGGCATTTTAACAAATATGCTTTGATTCTTTTAGTCGTTTCAAATCCCAAGATTGTTAAGAAACAGTTTGAACATTTGAACGCAAGCTGCTCATTTAATGCTAACTCTAGTCAGTTAGCCAATTCTATTCACTGATCATATGGGGGGAAATACATTTCCTGCTTTTGAACACTGTACTCTTCATTTGTACTTATTTCCATTCTGGTAACTCTTAGATTGCTATAAAAATTGCCTGACTTCTTTCTCATAGGATTCCCTTCAAAACTAAATGTTAGTACATAAGTAGGAGCGTATTTGTTTCTTTTATTTGCAGAGTAGAATAATTCATTCATTGTGCCATTAAGAATTTTTTCCTTTTAAGTGTTCTTTTCTTTGATTTAATTATTTTTTTCCCTTTTTTCAGTCTCGGAGAAATCTTTGTGAAGAGGCCTTGTTGAAAATTAAAGGAGTTATTAGTTTTACATTTCAAATGGCTGTTCAGAGATGTGTTGTACGAATACGTTCGGATTTGAAAGCAGAGGTAGGTGATTTAAAATATTCAGCATTCTCAAAACTGGATTTCTCTTTCCCCAAACTCACATCCTTTCCCAGCTTTCCTATTGTTGACTAGAGTGCATCCATCCTTCCAGTCATCCAGGTTCACAACCTTGTTATCCATATATCTAAATAGTTGCCAAACCTTGTCATTTCTACCTTGACAAAATCTCTTACATTCATCTCTACCCTCATTGTGACCACCCTGCCTAGTTCAGGCCTTGATTCACCTTTCAACTGGACTCTTGGCAGTAACCTTGTAAATCAGTTTCCCTGCCCCAGGTCTCTTTTTTCTTCAGGGCCAGTCTTCATTTAGCTTCCAAAGTGATTTTCCCTGGAGTGCAAGTCTGGCCAAGTGTCTCTTGTACCCAGTAAACTCTAATAACTCCCTGTTGCCTCTAGGGTAAAATAAAACCTCCACTGTTTAGCTTTTAAAGCCCTTCGCAGCCAGGTTCTTTACCTTTCCAACTATATTCCACATTACTTCCTTTCCCACACACTAGCTGTCCTGAAAAGAGAACTGTCCTGTACTCTTGATACTCACGTCCTCACTCTTGGCATGCCCTGTTGGTTCCCCTTGCTTGGAATGCCGTGCAACCTCACCCCCACCTTTTAGAATCCCTCGTTTCTGTCCAGACTCTGCTCAGGTGACATGTCCATGAAGCCTTTTCTGTTCTCCCTAGTGACTAGTGCCCTCTCCCTCCAAATTTACTTTGTATTTATTTTGTAGAGACTTATTTATGTACTGATAGAATGCAAGCTCTTTACAGGCAGTAGATTTACCCAGTGCCTAACATGTATTGGATTTTCATCATCAGTTTCCAAAAGTTCTACTGCTAACCATATTTACTCTTGTTATAGTCTCGCTTTTTAACTGATTTTGTTAATCAGTTCTGAAGCCTTTAAAAATTGTCAGTTGCAAAATCACTACTAAATATATTTCTTTTTTCTTGTTTTATGCTGACCTAGGCTTTGGCAACAGCAATAGCATCAACCAAAGTTATGAAAGCACAGCAAGTTGTGAAAAGTGAAACAGGAGAAGAAGTAAGACACTATCTTAATTTTAAATCTCTGTCAAATTTTGATCCTTTCTTGGTTCCTTATAGCCGGGGAGTTTCTGTATTTCCAGTACAAATAAGACTTTTCAATTAAAGCATATATATATTTTTTAAAGGCAATTGGGGTTAAGTGACTTGCTCAGGGTCACACAGCTAATAAGTGTCAAGTGTTTGGTCTGAGGTTGGATTTGAACTCAGGTCCTCCTGACTTCAGGGCCAGTGCTCTATCCACTGCACCACCTAGCAGCCCCTATGAAGCATATTTCTTAAGAGTGAAGAAATAACAGATGTAGGGAGGGCTTCTCTAGAGTTGGAGTCTTACCTTCGTTATGTCCTTTGTGGCTGAAAGTTTTCAGATTTTATGTGATATCTGTGAATTCCTCTTATAATATTAGAACCTGTTCTTGTTAGGAGAAGTGTAAGGGGAAACATCAGTAGGAGTTTTCTACTCATGTGTTTCCAGAACAGGTTTGTTACCACTGTATTTCTGCATGTTGGCTTGTGTAAATTGATTTTTGTTAATCTAAAGCTAGAAGATGACAACTAGGTAAGTCAGCTTTTGCCTTTCCAGATGACAGCAGGCTGGGGATGTAGCTGCCACAACTCCCTGTCTGCCGCTTCCACTGTGTGGTGGTTGGAGGTGCATTGTACCCCTAGTAGTTGCCCATAAGCTGTCAGAGTTCACCAGAGGCCAGCTGGGAGTGTCCTTTCTTTACAGCAGTAGCCACCTACTGCAGCAGCAGCACCATGGCTTTGGGTGGGACAAAGAAGGCTTTGCCCCTGGGCCTTAGGAGATAGAAACCAGCAAGATCTAAATTCTGTTCCTTCCAGTTTCAGGCTGCGACAGGCTACTGGGCTCTGTTTCATTCATTGTTCTTTTTGTATCACTGTGAGACAGCCTGATGTAGTAAAAGCAAATTGTTGAGGCTAAGGGTTCTAGTTAGAGCTTGGCTATCATTTTCTAAATAACTAAATTTCTATAGTTTTAGGCAAGTTACTTTACCTATTCAGACCTCTGTTTTCTCATCTATAAAATAAAGGGTATGTATTAGATTGCTTCTTAAAATTGTTTCAGTTACATTCTTTGATTCTGTGATGGCCCCATATTATCAGTGGCACCATATTTGTACTTTTTATGTCAGTTTTTATAGACTTTTAAGAGTCTAGCAATAAAATAGACAATTCATAAAGAATAATTTTAAATCACATAATTCATCTGTGTTGATTTTTTTTTTTTTACATTTTCTATTTATTAGATGCTGGTCCCATTCCAAGATACTCCTGTAGAAGTAGAACAGAATACAGATCTACCTGACTATCTGCCGGAGGATGAAAGTCCTATAAAGGAACAAGATAAAGCAGTGTCTCGAGTTGGGTCACACCCAGAAGGTGGAGCCAGCTGGTTGAGCACAGCTGCAAACTTTTTATCACGTTCCTTTTACTGGTGACTTAAATTTGAGGCTCAAGGACTGTGTGAACCAACAAGGGGCCAGTTTTCCATTGGTGTGGTGAACTGTCAAGTGCAATTTGCAATAAGTTATCATGAAAAGTTTTTAGATTACATAATTACGTATGCTGCATTTTTGGAGGGTATTTCTTGGTTGTGTTTTCCTATGTTTTATTGCCTCACTTAAAAAATATACGTATATGGGTCCACTATTAAAACCAAACTTTTATGCATATGCAGCTTTAAATTTTACTTCACATGCAACATGTGATTAGGCAAATTCTCAACTCAAGTCTCAGGACTTTGTTTGCAGGGTAATTTTTTTTATCCCAAGTTGTACCTGAGTCATTAAACCTTTTATTTTTTTTTGGAGGGGAGGAGTGTGGCTGGGCGGGATGGGCTTCTTTGTTTCTAATGAAGGATGTTCATTTTGTTACTCTTTACCAGGAAGCCAGAGGAAAATATACCTGCAAAATAAAATACCTGAAAATATACCTCCCCTTTTTCCATCCCTTTTGTTTTGCCAACCATCTTTGCAAAGGCTTAATTTTCTGTAGCATTTTCTGATTTAGAATTTATCTATTTGAACACAGTAATCCCTAGAATATATTTTAAATTATTTTGTTACTCCCAGAACATTGGTATTTTGTATGATTGACAAAGAATTGAGTAGAAGAAATTGTGATTGTGTTGTTGGTTATACTGCTTTCAAAGAATATTTAACTGTGTGCAATGGCATATAGTTGACTTTGACTGCTATTTAGTCAGGCTCAAATCAGATCTGGAAAGTTATAATTTGCTCAAGTGATGTCCAGTATAGTCTTACCTTAAGCAGGAAGTGGCTTATAGTTCTTAGTTTGTAATTGTACATTATCTCCTACTAGCAAAAATAATGGTAGTTAAAGCTGATGTGAACTTGAAAAACAGCACAATGGAATGAATGTCTATTATGCCCCAGTGCCCCTGCAGTAGATTCTGAACTTAAGCATCAGTTGCTTGGCAAGTGTCCATTCAGCAGATGTTTCCTTAAATCACCTCTTTTGAATTTCTCATGCACATGCAGCAGTAGGTATTATTATACAGGGTAGGGTTGAGGGAGGGAGTGAGGGAAGAATCCAAACAGTTACTACCATTTATAGACAAAAGTAGCTTTTGTTGAAGAATGTCTTCGGCCCTTTAATCTTGTCTCATCACATCTGGTCAGTTTTAAAAACAATTTTGGCAAAGGTAAGATTTGTTTTGTTTTTGTAAATTTGATGTAAGACGTGCACAATGCTCAAGCTTCTGAACTATTTGGAAACTAAGAACAATGCTCTCTGGGAGTATGACTGACAAACTTCAATGTTGTTGTAATTGAAAACCAATATGAAGTGGTTGAAGATGCTGTCTTTCTGGCAACATTCGCAACTCTTATTACTTTGAAATACAGTGAAAATTTAGCCTAGAAAGCCTCTTCTTCCTAACAAGTAAAAACATTCAGCATTATGAGAGGGAAATTATTGTGAAATTAATACCACTAATGAAAGTCTTGAATTCATCATTCATTTGAATTGTGGCTTTCTGGAGGAGAGAGGGACATATTTGCAGACTAGTTGTTTGTGGGGTGTTTTGGTTTTTTTTTTAAGTGTATCTAGTCTTTGATTCAGGTGACACGCACAGGCTGAAAATACAAGCTTTGAGGAGCATGTATTGCTTTAAATATGTATTACAACTTGCTGCCTAGAATGTTACAATACCAGATGTATTTTTTTTAAAATCATCCTTTCTGTAGCCATGAATGCAAAGTTTACTTTTCTGTATTAGCAACTGTTTGCATTTTATTTTGCATTACATCTACTTGTTAAATAATGACATCCCTTTGATAGTAATGGTTCAAGTACAAGTAGGTATTGCAGTTTTGATGTTTGTGTGTTTAAATTCGAAGTATGCTTCTTTTGCTAGTGTTGCAGATCTTGTAGAACAGTTAAGGTATCTGTAAGGCATTTCTTTTTTCTTTCTTTTTTTTTTTTTGAAATATATTGTAAAATAATAAAAAGTAACATAACTAAAAGTGAAGTAATTGAAGTTTCTGTATTTTGTGAACATAAACATTACTGATTTCTATTCACATCTTGTTAAATTTTATAACTTTTTAAAAGCTTTTTTTTTCCACCTGATATTTTAACATGCCTTTAAATTGATCACTTTGTACTTCTAGGAGAGGTACAACAGAGATAGAAATGAAAATAGCTCTCTTTCGTTGGTAACAGTCTTTCACAGGCAGCTAACCCTTATTTCAAACTCCCCCTTCTCTTTTTTGAAGCAGCATAAGTGAACATGAATTAAGAATATTTATACATTTCATATCAAATGGATAAGTCACTCAAAACAAAGGAATCATAATTTTTCTTTCTGGAATTAATGATTACTTTATAAATAATATTAGATAAATCCCTTTATAAGAATTTAATAAATTTTTATTTTAATAAAAATTTAATAAAAAGTTTCTCTTTTTGCAAACTAGGGGTAATACCTGCCCCTCCTTAGGATGTGATGTAACGTAATATCTTTAGTGTACTCTGAGAGTCCCAGAATTGTTACAAGAAAATGAGATACCAAAAATGATTGTTTTAATAATGTCCCAAATTTGATATATTTGGCCATCCCTTTGTTTTTGATTCTCTCTTTCCTTGCTCACAATGACACTACATTAACATTGTTTTCCTAGTTCTGTCACAAATTGTTTGTTAACCTCTTAATATCCGACTCAGAGTCGTCTGGCCTACTGTCCTAACTTAACATTGTCTTCCTTAGAGAATGTATCCACTCTCAGGAATTTAACGCTTTCCCAAAATCTTTAAGTTCTGCTCAAGCTTCTTTCCCATATATCTCTAGCCATGTACTTCATAAATCTCTTATTACATCAAATCCCGTGTTTCTACTTTTTCCTTTGATTTTTCTTTATTTTGAACATTAAAAAAAATTTTTAGTTCCAAATTTTCTGTCTCCCTCCATACTCTCTCCCACTCATTAAGAAGGCAAGCAATATAATAGCAATTTATACATGTGAAGTCATGTAAAACATTTCCATATTAGCCACATTGCAAAAAAAAAAAAAACCCCAAAAAAACAAACAAAACAAAAAACCCCAAAAATATAAAAAGTAAGGAACATAAAGAAAGTTTAAACAGTATGCTCCAGTCTGCATCCAGACTTTATCAGTTCTCTTTCTGGAGGTAGATAGCATTTTTCATCATGGGTCCTTTGGAATTGTCTTGGATCATTGTATTGATCAGACTTGCTAAATCTTTCACAATTGATCATTGTTACAATATTACTATTACTGTGTATGATGTTCTCCTGGTTCTACTCTCTTCAATTTACATAAGTTCGTACAGATCTTCCCAGGTTTTTCTGAAACCATCCCCTTCATCATTTCTTAGAGTAAAATACTATTCCGTCACAATCATGTACCACAACTTTTTTAGACATTCTCCATTTGATGGGAGTCCCCTCATTTTCCAATTCTTTGCTACCACAAAAAAGAGCTGCTATAAATATTTTTGTACATGTAATTCTTTTTTGCTTTTCTTTGATCTCTTTGCAAACCCAGTGTTTCTAAAATGAAATTCATGAAATTTGTACCCAGCCACTTTAGCACACCATGATCTTTTTCTCCTTTGTATTTCCATAGCAATTGCTGTGGGTCTGCACCATTCATTTGATGCTTAATCCTATCCTTATATTGTGTTGTATGACTTGTTGTGTGTGCATACCTTGATTCCTTAATGTGATTAGCCCCTCCAGAGAAGGGACATTTTTCATTTCAGACTTAAACCATGGTGCCTTGTACAGTACTATTTGTATAATAGATGCTCAATAATATTTGCTGATTGAATGTAGTGAACCATTTATAAAGTATTTATATTAAATAGATATGAAGATTGGATATTGTAAATCTTTAATATTTATATCAGTTATAAAGAAGTTTTTTTCAAAAGGAGCATACTTTTTATTTTTTTATCTTATTTATTTATTTTTAGTTTTCAACATTAATTTCCATAAGATTTTGAGTTCCAAATTTTCTCCTCCTCCCTGTCTTCTCCCTTCCCCAAGATGGCATGCAGTCTGATATAGGCTATACATATAAATTAATATTAAACATTTTCACATTAGTCTTATTGTAAAGAAGAATTAGAACCAATGGGAGAAACCATGAGAAAGAAGAAACAACAAGAGAGGAAATAGTATGCTTTGATCTGCATTCGGATTCCATAGTTCTTTCTCTGGATGTGGATAGCGTTTTCCATCATGAGTCTTTTGGAGTTCTCTTAGATCCTTGCATTGCTGAGAAAAGCTAAGTCTATCAAAGTTAGTCATCGCACAGTGTTGCTATTACTGTGTACAATGTTCTTCTGGTTCTAGGAACATACTTCTTAGCCTTGTGAGTTTTATAAAATTTGTTTTTGATCAGTGGCATCTAAATATTGTCATAACACATTTTGGCTTCAGGATTTTGGAAAAATCCAAATAATTTTCAAATGGATTCCAGATATTCTCATAGGTACTTGCTAGGTTTTTTTTCTTATGGTACTATGAATAACCCTAGGAGGACTGTTTGAACCCTAGGAGGACTGTTTGGCTTATCTTCGTAGCAGCTCCAGTCTTCACTTCTCCCTGTCCCATAATGAGCTTTACATTAAACAGATGCTAACAAGATTGGGGAGTTATATTTCCCTCCTTTTCCCCTGTTCATTTGTGGAATTTGCCATCCAGTTATCTTTCTGAAGTTCTTTTCACCCTTTTCAAATGACACCAGTTAAACTTCTGTATCACTTCATGCCATCATTTCTAAAATGAAAATCATTAGGACTCATATTTGAAAAATAGCATCCACATTTAAAATTCTCAGTTTAAGTCTTTGTACTTTTAACCTGACTCCTTAGTTCACTTCTCCAGCCTTCTGCTGGTTAATACTGAGTTGATTGTTCTGACCACAGCCTAGGAGAGAGGTAAGAAGTAAACAATTAAAATGACTATGGACTAAAATAACCTTGTCTCCCTTTACCCTCACTATTGACAGGTAACTCCCTTACATTTTTTCCTCCCTGCACCGCCCACCCCCTTTTTTTCTTCTAACAAAGCCCATTTGGTTTGGAAAAACTACCAATTTTATAGCATAAGAAGGAAGGAGGGGTGACATGGAGGAAGGGAAGAATAGTTCTTTGAGGAAAATATATTTCTTTATTTTCTTAAAATGTAGGGGGAATTCTGAATGAGGAAAATATATATGAGTGAATGCGGTGTCTGATTTCTTTAAAGTTTCTACAGTTCTGTAAGCAGCAGTCCAGTGTATCAGAAAGAGCATTGTACTTGAAGTTAGAGGTCGTGAAACATAGTCCTGGTTTTGGCACTAACCAGCAAGTCACTTAATTTCTGCCTCATCTTTCTCATCAATAAAATGAGGAGTTGGACTAGATGATCCATAAGCCTCCTCCTCAGAATTTCTATAATCCTCTGTTTCCCTGACCACATACTAGCTCCTTATCAAGCCTGGTAGATTAACCATTTTTGTGGTCAGCTGCCCCTCTCTTCAGCCCTGCCCCCATGTCTGGTCGTTAAGTCCTGTTGTTCCTTAGAAATATTTCTCATTTTTCTCTCTTGCCCTTCTCACTGCCACTGATCTAATCTAAACCCTCTTCACCTCACATCTGGGTTGTTTCACTAGGCTCTTAGCTTTCCTGACTCCAGCTGCTTCCCATTCTAATTTATTCTGTCTATTGCTGCAAAATGAATCTTCTTAAGGCAGTGAGATGATGTGTTGGACAGAATACAGGGCTTAGAGACCGGAAGAACTGAGTTCATATTTGGCCTCAGACACTAGCTGTGTGACTTTGGACAACCCTCAGTTTCCTCAAATGCAAAATGGGACTGATAATAACACTTAACAATCCGTGTTGTTGTGAGATATTTGTAAAGTAGCACAGTGCCTGTCATACATAGTAGGTGCTACTATTTATGTCATGATACTTCTCTAACAGTTTTTTTCGTACTACATGAGCTCTAAACTTTGGCTTTCGTGGTCACGTAAATAATAGTATAATATGTGTGTGTATATATATATATGTATAATGATATGTGTATATATCACATATATGTATGTGTATGTGTATATATATTATGTGTAATAGTGACCTTGTCCCTTCCCAGCTCAAGGGCCTTCAGTGCCTCCCTATGGATTCTAAATAAAACTACTAAAAAAACCAAACTACTCAACTTGGCATTGGAAGCCACCCTACAATCTTTTCCTAGCTTTTGTCACATTACCGCCTTTCCTACACTCTTATCTTTAATTTTTGTGTGTGTGTTTCCGTTTGGCAGTGAGCTAATGAAACTAATGAACCCTTTTCAGAATGATGTTTTTTAATGCATAAAATAGATGGGATTATGGCAGAAGCAAATTATATGGAAATGAAGTTATCAAAATATTAGTTAAAAGCAAGTTCATTGGCCCCACATTGAGGAGCCCCTCCCCTTAGCAGAACTGACCTATTTGATTCTAGAATTTGGCATTCTATCTCCTGGCTTTTTGTTTACGTATAAGCTACTCACATTGCTTAGGCTGTGTACCCCTCCTTCAGGGTTCAAGTCATATGCTACCTTCTATGAGAAACTTTCTTGAAAGCCCCAGTTGTTTAGTGTCCTCTCCCTTCCCAGATTATTGTGGATATTTGTTTATTTGTTGTTAAGGGAAGAAACTAATTTTTGCTTGTTTTTTTATCTCCTAGAACTCATATTTAGTAGATAGTAAGTGCTTGTCGAGCTGAATGAGGCTTTGTAAATATAGCCTAGGTTGGTCCTTGGATGCATGATCTACCTGGTCTATTACCAGTCCTTTAGGCAAAATATTTCTAACTTTGTAGGGATTGCCAGAGCTTGCATTCTAGGATGTCATAGCTTTCAATAATAGAAAGTGACACCCATGCCTTGAATCGTTA